AATGCTCAAATTCAGCTCTATAAGCCTGACATGGGATCAGAGGGCATCATTAGAGTGAGTCAGGTCCCTGCATTTGATGATCATTTTATCTGTCACTGGATCAACTTTCCTCCAAGAATCTGCTCTCTAATTAGAGGCTTTCACTATTTTTCGCTATTAGTTTGCAACTCTTAGTCCTCACGATTTGAACACAAGTCAGTGAAGCTTTGACCAAGCTGAAAAATCTCAGACAGCTCTCAGAAGTATAGTGTGCCCCATAACAGATTACATCTGAAAACTCTGCAGAAGAATTTTATGGCAATATTAACTCTTTTAATGCTCTTTATTTATGGAAAATAAGAGCTGTTATGGCCATTTGTGAGATTCTCATGCCTCTTCCCAGTTACTACAATTTTCAGTGCCCACTCCTACAGCTGCCTGAATTTCAAATTTGCTCTTGGTTGGAGATATCAGTGATATAATTTATAAATACAACACTTGCTTTAAACTGTGTAAAAAAAAAAGTTCATAATTTGATATTAATTTAGTTCACTCTGTATTGCAATTGTATTTGCATTAGAAACTTTTAAAACTCTCTTCCTTCACACATTACAAAGAGCTTAGAATATCATATGATATGAAATATGCAATCCTACATTAAAATTTACAATCAGCAATAAGGAGATAAGTTTTTCTAGTTTAACTGTGGCTTTGGTGTCTTCAAAATATAATTTTGGCTGCAGTATATATACAGATCTTTATGATAAGCATTGAATCAAGATAACATTCATTCTCAAACCATAAAGACATGCATTGCCAATTATTGTATACAATAGTACTTTCATTGTTCATTGTGCTCTTTAAATGCATCAATGCCAACAAGTGCTTAAATTATGCTGTGAATACGCTCTCAATGAATAAACATTAAGGAGTCATGTATCAGCAAATATCAAAACCACCAGCACAAAAAGCCCCCGAGTATTATAGAGGTCTCAAGTTTGCAGAAACTACATTTAAAAAAATGTTGGGATTATTTTCTGAAAGCAAGTTACAAATTATTTCAAGCTCATACAGAATCTAACAACCATTAAATTTTATTGAAGGTTTCATTCTTAAAGCACTGGAAACATCAGCTGCATTTAGTGAGGAAGAGCACAATGATATAAGATCACTTTTTTTTTTTTCCTTCCCTTGTTTGGCGTGGAACAAGTTAATGAAATTCACTGAACAGTCCTTATTGTTACAGGAAGGCTGGAATACTTTAAGGGTGTTGGAAGCTTCACTTTGTAGAAGCTGGAAACTGATCTTGTGCACAATGGCAAAGATTCAGTAAGTCGAGGAAATAGCATTAGAAAATGCATTTTCAGCAAAAAAAAGACTGGGACTAGAGACCATAAGTTCTTCTAGACCGTTCAGTTATCTTCCAAAATATGAACACAGTGCCTTCAGTTTCAGAGGTAGTAAGTAACAGAATACCAGAATCACCCACTTCACTGAAACTGTATGCTTAAAAATTGGAGCTTTGATTACAGAGAGAGTGGGAATATATTTTAAAACCCAAAGCCTATTTAAAGAAAACAGCTAAAATAAGAAGTTGCTGTCACAAAAACAGCCCAGATAATAAAATTGACAACATATTATGCAATAAAGTTCCCACTTCACTAAAAGCAATCATCAGTTTTCTGCAGAGTGTTTTCTTAGAACGTATATATTAGAGTCACAATAATCATATAATCAGAGAAGTTCAACACTTAAAATTTCAATGAGAAACGCAATTTTTTTTCTTTTTTTTTTTTGCCCCATTCAAGCCCTTTTCCCTGCTCTCCCAATAAAAATAAAAGGAAAGAGTACTGCAATATGTAGTCTGAATAAGGAGACCCTCCACCTGTGCAGGTAACTGGGAGTTCGTTTTAATTTAATCAAAATAGCATTTCTTTTAATAAAACTTTAATGCTGTACTTTATAAAACGGAAAGCAAGAAGAACAAAACTTGATCAACATACTGATAACCAGGAAGGACGATCTTTTTCCCCATATCTCATACTATTTAAATACAGGCCCAGGTTCACAGCTAACAAAGAAGAAGTTGTACTCTTTGCTCAGAAGGGCTCTCTAACACAGGACTGCATTTTCAACAAAGATCAGTAACTGGAGTAGAAAAAATGACCTTTTTTTCACTTGCGTCACAAATAACATGCAGAAAGAGGCCCTCTTAAAAGTCAATTACAGCTTGCATGCCTGTTTTTCTTTTCTTTTTCTTTAGTGTTTCTTCTTTTGCGTTGTCATTTTAAAAAAAATTGCTTCCATTAAATAATTCAACTTAAGTGTATACCTTGATCATCCATGATAATATATTCCTCAGACTTTTTACAAGCATAAGTAGTACCCCCCCCAGCCCCGACTGATCCAATTATACTATGCGTAAATTTCAATGACTACCTCTAAATGTGCAGTAAGATACATGAAAATTATCATTTCCTACGGACAACTCATTTCAGGCAACCTTTTATCTACTTGTTCTCTCTATACTCATATCCTCTTTACATTTTGAGAAATCACTGAAAACTCCAGTGATACCAGAAGTATATCACCACCATCCTGCATCTAGGAGATTAACACGAGAAACTGCTATGACATACTTCTCTATCACAAGAAATGACAGCAAATTATAATTATGATAGGGCCTGTTCCTTTTCCATTCTAGAATATGATCTGACAAGAAAAGCCAAGCTATCGATTAAACATTAACATTGTTTGTTTGCTCCACAGAAGCTCCAACAGTGAAGCAGCAGCAAAAGGAATTCTATTAAAAAAAAAAAAAAAAATCAAGAATGCTACTACACTACAGTCCTTTGATAAGTTTAAGCCACTCCAGATCATGACTGATCTACCTCTTCTTTTTTGCACTCAGATATCAGTTACTACGTAAGATCTCAGTCCAAGTTAAGAAATACCGAAGGAAAAGCAACTTATTTTGTAAAGAAAAATAAAGATTCATGTTAAGAGAAGCTACTGGTGAGAAAAGTAACGTTAACCTTCATAACTTAAAGGCTTCTAAATCAGAGAATATTTAACCTTATTTCAAGTCATGTTCAGCAAAGTGATAACTAAGAAGTGACACACAATCATTTTTAGAGTATATTTCAATCACCGTACAATTATACATTTAGACTCTCAAACTTTAAAAGTTAACCAAGCAGAATCAAGGAGATAATAAGCAAACTATATTAGAAACAAATAATGTTACACAATTTACCTCTGGTACAATAATCTTTCTCAGATCTGAAAAAAACTTTATAAATTATCCCTGTCACAGGGCCTATGCCCAGGTAAAGTGGGATAAAGAGATTTACCCAAGATTTATACAGACAACTGAGTCGAAACAGACTAGATATACCCAAGGTACCACTTCAGAGCACTACCCCAAAGGCACTTCAAAGCAGGGCTTACCAAATTTTTTTTTTTCTTTGAAGGAAATATGCATTGCTACATATGCAAGACAATGCAAAGAGAAACTACTGCAAAGTAACAAGCTACTGAGTGGTACTGCCTTTATGGTAACTGCCTGTACACCCTACAGCAGAGGCCAGTAACTCAAGGTAGCTGACCCTTTTATCCAACTACCTTGCATTAACCACATCTCTTTTACGGAGAGCTAGCTAGACCTTCAATGTAAAAGCGCATATGGTTTATGGAAAAAAAAGGATAACAAAAGTGCAGTTAACTTTGTACCCTGCGTTAGCTGTCAACTGCTTATAAACAAAAAGTATAACGTAACCTCAGGTTCCTCTGAGATATCCTGGAAGTGAGCCATGACCTATTTCAGTTCTTCCATTATACTGCAGCTTAACACTCCACACAATCCAGTGTCATAATCTCATTTTTCATGACAAAAGCATAAGCAGAAGTAATAAACATAAGTAAACTCTTCTTAAAATCTTTATCCTCTTCTTGCTTTTCTAATCTTAATAACTTCATATATACTTTATGTGAGAAGAACTAGTGTTAGCGTTTTCAAACTGCTACACATCTTAACCTTTGCCCAAAGGTATTAGGGCTAGAAGGTTGCACATTGATTATAATACGCCAACATACTACAGAAGCAACTGAATGGTCATCATCACCCTACTTTGTGCTTTTACAAGAACTCAGGTAGGCAAAAGACACATCCACGCTCTATAAACAGGGCAAACAAACTTATGCGGATATTTCCACCGACACATTTTTAACCTAGAACCCGAACGGCAGAGACATGATTTGTTCATTTTGGCACTCTACTGAGTGGTAGCATTTGCAACAGGAGGAGCACAACCAGTATGAGAGCTCCTGGTGGAAACAGAGTAGTAAAGCTGTAACACAGGAGTAAGGTAACTAGTGAAAAATAATGGGACTGCTCCTTATCTGAATAGCTGAGTTTATTAGGATACAACATCTGTAAATTGTAGTAAACTACAACAGTCTTATTAAGTGTAATATGTACATTTCATCTTCGATAGGAAGTATCTTGCAAAAGACAATAATCTTGATTTGGATAGCTGAATAATTCTGTAAAGAAGTCATTTTTACACTCTTCTTGAAAAGTATACTAAAAAGTTTTTGTTCCATATCTCAAATACTGCTAATATACAAAGACAGTAGGAACTTAGTAATCAGCAGGTTGCTCCAGAGGAGGGAGCGTTGATAATTAACAGTAAGTTACTAAACGTGATTTTTCCCAATTACATTGCCAAATACAATCTGTCTGGAGTGCACGTTAAAAGAGAAAAGCTTTCACATTTATGATTTCACTACAGTGTTTAAAATGACTGGTGAAAAGTCTCTAGTCTTACACCTAACTTATAAAACATACAGTATTTTCCTTTTTTTTTTTTGAATATACAAACGATCTTGAAAATAAAAAAGCCTATGGTAACCACCTTTGATTCTACTTACGTAATTCCAATTCACTTGGTTAATAAAACAATTATAATTTTACCAGGATTAAAAATCTTGATTGCAAGATTAAAAATAGTTGTTCCTACCTCCACTTTCGTTCGGTAAAGAATGAGACGCTTAAGGCTGCCCACTTTGGCTATGTGGTTGAAAGCTTGAGGTGGTATCTTATCACATGATGAAAGATTTAGTTCCTGAAGATTTGGACACAGTTCAGTAATGACCTCCAAACATGTTTCATTGAGGAAATGACCACAAGACAATTCAAGGCGCACTAGCTCAGAGCCACAAACTTTCAAGAACCTGTAAAAAGCATATTAAATGAAAAATAAATCTACTTGACAATGAGAATCTTTGAATACTGTCTAAACTGAAAGTATGTGAAATAGGAAATACTTTCAGCAACGAAAGATCTATAGACTGCAGCTCTTGTATCATCTCAATTGACTAACAGAACACTTGATTAGGTTAAAATAAATTGATCATAACCACTCTGCAGAAATGAATTGTGAATCAAATTGGTGCAAATCTGGAAAAGATCAAATAAAACTAACACTAGCCTTGAAAAACCTCAGTTTAGGTTTAGAATTTTGAAGCATTTGGTATATTGGTGTCTGGTAAACTCTGGTTTTACAAGGTAAAATAGATTCTAAAGAGAGAATTCAGATTTACACAAAACAATGGGAGAGGAGATTTGAAGGCAGTACCCAGCTGAACCCACATGCTCTGAACCCACACATCCTGAGCCAATGAGGCAAAATGTAACAGAGAATGTTTGACACACTTTTGAAATGATCCCCAAAGCCAGCTTTGACAATAGTCTGCAACTTTCCACCAGCATTCTCGTATGTTTTGTCTCTGAGGAAAATCGGCAAATGCGAAAATGAGGTTAATATTTTTATTTTTTTTAAATGGACAGAATATTCAGGAGAAAAAGTATTTTAAAAACTTTCAGAAAACATTGAATTCCTTCCGCTAACAAGTAAGTCAAATCAACACTTCACAGCTGTTTTAGAACACACAGATCCTTAAGAGGAACCATTTCATAGAACTTACTTGAATTAATTAATTTAAGCTATTAGAAGACAGAATATCCAAATATGCAGAAACTGTGATGGTCTCTACATGAATTACAACTCTGTCAGAGATCTACTGTCAGAACTTCAAGCTCTATTACATCTAATTTAAGCTTTCATTAAAAGCATATAAGCTTATGGCCCTTTTTCTTCACAAAGAAAATCTTCTAAACATAAATCAATGAGTAGCATTGTATGTTGTTATTTAATAGGGGAAGAAAAAACACTTGCAGTGATTTTGTTATACTCCTTTTCAATAGTTTCTCCAAAATGAAAAAAAATAAGATCCTTACTTTCCATGGGTGCAATCAGTTCCCCTCACTACTTCCTGGAATAATGGAAGTACTTGTGAGAGGGCACGAATTAATTTATCATAAAAAAGATTCCTATCTGCTCTATTACCAGTTCCACTATCCTACAAAAGCCTTCATACAGAAAAGGCAGCTTCAGGTTCTGACACTTTCACCTTAAAGTTAATATTGTTTCTTGGTTCAAATGATACAATAGAAATGCCAAAAAGATATGAGTCTAACTTCTACAAAAGCTTATTCCTACAGTTAAACAGATGTTAGCCCTACCAATATTTTGCTCTTGCTGAAACTTAGGAAAGAGAAAGGGAGGCACACCTTAATGACACTAAATAGTAATGGAGAATTTGAAATCCCCACCTGTCAAGATCCAAGTCTCTAAACTTTCTCCTTTGCTTTTTTTTTTTTTTTTCTTCCCCCCCTCATTACTCCTCTTTCCTCACTCAAGTCCCAGAAAGGGGACTTGCCCAGAGAGGCTGAGGAGTCTCCATCCTTGGAGATATTCAAAGTATGGCTGGACATCGTCCTGGGCAACCTGGTCTAGCTGACCCTGACTGAGCAGGGAGGTTGGACCAGATGATCTCCAAAGGTCTCTTCCAACTCCAACTATTCTGTGAAGTCATTGCTGTTCATCATCACCTTTATTTCCCCAATCCTGCACATTACCTACCTCACTATGCCTTTCTTCCATGATATGGTTCCTAAACAATAAGGAGAGGCATGCAGATTTCAAGATGGAACCTCTATCCCTACAGGTCTTCAAGAGTCACCTAAACACAGCCATGACGACCTCATCTAGGGTTGGGGGCAGGCACACTTTAAGTGGGAGCTTGGACTAGATGACATTCAGCAGTCCCTAACATGTCACATCTCTATGAGTCTATGGTAACAGAAAGAAAGAGAGACTCTGACATATGAAATGACAGACATGGCCCCAGGGCATGTGGGTTCAGCTGGGTACCGCCTTCAAATCTCCTCTCCCACTGTTTTTGTGCAAACCTAAGTTTCTCTTTAGAATCTACTTTACCTCGTAAAACCAGAGTTTACCAGACACCAAGCACCCATGTGTTGTTTTCCTACTGGATACAATGAATTCACCTGTAAACTGGACTGGTAAGCTCTCTTACGGGAATGCCAGAGCTGAAATATGGAACTCATGAGAATTAACATTAGATATCTGAACATTAGACTGTTAGTTGAATTAATTTTAAACATTATCAGAGAAACACAGGATGGAAATCCTCTGGAAATCTGAGTAGAGACATACGGATTCACTGATGATTACCAGTTAGCCAACTCTTCTATTTAATGAGTGCTTTAACAATACGGCACCTCACGTTCACACAGCTTCTTTCATCAACAAGTTATTATCAGGTTTATTTGAATGGTGATATTTTTCATAAAACAATGTCAGTTGCCATTTATTATACTGCTAGCTTTTAATTTGCTAATGGATAAATATTTTATGAACTATTCCATTACAATAATGGAATTTAGGTTAACTACCATATAATTTAACGGGGCTTGGCCATTATAAATATTGGTGTATACAAACACTTTTCTCATTCTAGGCCGACTAAAAGTTAATATCATCAGGTTAGAGAAAAACTCAGTTAATCCCCTAGATTGGAGAAGAACTCCAGGCTCACTAATCTGAAGAGTTATTACCTTCATAACATTTTATTTAAATTCACTACACTTAAAACACACCAGGCAGAGCAAACACAGCAACAGTAAGCAGCATTGCATTTGTTCTTCACAGTTTTGCTCCCTTTTTGGAAGGGGTTATTTAGGAGACATTAAATAGAGAGAAAGGGAAGGGGGATAAAGGGGACACAGCACGGTACAGGAATTAACGGATAGGCATGAAGTAAAGAGATGAACAGATTCAGGAGGAGAAATTTGAAGAAGTCATCAACCAGAATATAGCAGAGTACATTAGCCAAAACAGCAGAGTTCTCTAAGTGATCAAGACACCCATCTCTGTTTGCATTTAAAAGGCTGCTCAGAAGAGAGGTTTTTGCTAGTTTCTTTCTACAAAAATTTCCAAAGCCACATGGCAAGGTAGCATACATGCTTGCATGTTTGCAGAACAAACATGGCACAGCCTCCATACTATTGAGTTTTAACAGACATTGGATACATGGCTCTAACTTAACCCGCTTAAAAATAAACAATCACAACAAAAGCCAGGACCGCTTAAGCTCCTTTTTATAGCCTTTCCTTTGTGCATAGAACTCCACCACTTTAATTTTGCTTCTTTTTTTTTTTTTAATAATATACAATTTCTCAAGTGATTTCCCTTTACCTCTTCATATTTCTGTCATGAAATACAATTGACTAAATAATCTAAAAGAATCTGAACACAGGTTTTTTTTTTTTGCTAGACATCAGAACAGGCCTTTACCTAAGCTCAACCTCATTCTAGATTATAGCATTGAGTTCTTAACAAAAAACAAAATAAAAAGAAAAATCACTCTTTCCATCACTCTATGCTTACTTATATCCTCTCAGAAACTGCTGTTCATTTTTTCTCTTCAGCTTTTGAAAATGATTTAGCCTTTCTGAAACATCAAATACACCCATTAGTGGTTCAGACTCTTCTATTTGCTCATACCGACGTCAAAACACTCATGATCACTGGGTCACTAGTCAATCAATATTTTCTAATCTTGTAATTAATGTCTGTATCACAAGCACATCCCATGAGACAAAGAAGATCCAAAATCAAAATACCAAATTACAAGAGATACCACCTTTTTTGTCAGAACTGGCTGTGTGAGACCTCCGCTGAAAAATTCTCAAAATACCTTTAGACAAATGCTTAAGAAGATACGAAACACAATGAACTGGAATCAGTAGTTTTAAAACAGAACCCCACTGGATCCAAAATCTCGACTTCACTGTGAGCACAATGCTCCCCACGTACTCAAGATCCTACATTTCAAAGTTACTGAAAACTCTACAAGCAAGGTTGACAGGTCAGTTCTCCCTCCTATTTACCCTTCCGAAACACACTTTGCTACCTAATTTTACATTCCTTTAGTGCAATCATCTCAACATGTTTCAGTCATGCCAATTTTATCAAATCTATTTTCAGTGAAAAGTTCAACTACTCATTGTGTAGCCACTGACACGTAAGCCACTCAACTTTGGTGTCTGAGAATGCCAAAGAGTAGATGGATTGTTTCTTTAGCACTTTCCTTTGTACCGTTAACTTACGCTAGCATCTGAATCAGGGACATTACCTCTGCTACCTGACAGGTATAGGCTGCCTCATTTGCCTGGTCCTCCGTGGTATGTCTCTCCTAGAACACTTACTAATACTTCGTGAAAACAGAAATTGTGGTCAGCTCCAAGTCAACTGCACCCTCTCTCCAGCTTCTCAGGCCTCCCCCTTTCCTTAGCCTGCAACCAGACAAGAATAATGTCAAAAAAACACCTGGACTTTATTCTTCCTCAATCCACTTCCAAGATCTTAAAGTCATCTTTCTTACTGTAGTTTTATGTATATTACTTGTGGAGACTTGGCAGAGGGCTTCATAATCCCAACCAATTCTGCAGTTAAATCTTGCATTTCTACTCCAAGGCAACACCAAGGAACCAGCCCTGTATTCCTGCAGCTTAATTATGAGGATTCGAAGAGAAAAAACAGTAAGGAAGTAATCTGCTTACCTTACTCATGGAGGGTTTACATAGCTGAATAAACATACAAAAATACAAACTTACAATACATTTATTATCTAATCTTTCTTTCAGTTATAGTACTCCTAGGTTTTATCAAAAACTGTGGAAATCAGAAGAGGGGTAGAACTGAGTTTTAAACTGAGAACGCCTTTGTTGCACACTACTATTTTCTGTGACTGAACATCTGATGCATGTTTCAGTAAGTTTTTTGACCTTCCTAGTCAAAAAACTAGGACTAGTTTGATTTACAGCAAAATCTCATCATTTTTGTTTAAAATTTGTCCATTAAGTTAAAACACACCTCTGTAAAGCAGCGACCAAAGCCTTCAAATTTTAACAAAATTGTTAAACATACATTTCTCGACATGCTTCAAATGTAAACACTGCATCACTAACCTGAACGTGAAATTCTATTACTTTCATACTATAAAATGTTAGGCATAAACAAACATTCTAATACCGCCGATATTTAAAGCAGAACAGTTTAAACAAGCTAATAACATTATTAGTGATATAAAGAAATCTGTATGGATAACTGTTTTTAAACTGTCAGCATCCTTTAGCTCTTTACACCTCAGAGAATTTATTCAGTATCCTGATATTTAGTATACCTCCAATCAACTCGCCTCACTTTTCCTATCCTCCCACGCTGTTATTCCCATTGCATGGGCAAATTCAGCAGACTTCTAATGCCAGGAGAATAGTTTTGTTTATATAATGCTCTCTGTGCAATCTTTGTTTATTCCCTGTCACTTTTCATTCCAGACGCTTCAGATAGCTCAAACTCAGTTCATTTGTCTTTCACTGTTCAGTATACTTTTAGTTCAATCTAAATTATAAAGGTTAGTTCTTTTATATTATATGCTGAAATAAAAAAACTATGTTAGTCATTTTTAACCCTAAGGGGTAGATGTTATCAATAAGTTAAAATACCTTCAGCTTTGCCTCAGGATGTTCATATGCCTGAAGCATTCCATCTACTCATGATAATACAGTATTTGCTTGAGTCATATTTCTTACTTTTTTTTTTTAAAGCTACCACTTTAATACATTTTTCCAAGAACATATATATTTTCATTTACTTCTTAAAATCATGTCTATATGAACCTTTTAGAGTAACACAGCAATCTACACCAACTTAACTATTTTAAAGCTAATGTCATAAGAAACCAATAGTGGATAAAAATATTTTTGAAAGCTGTTCTCTAAAGTCAAGCAAGAGTAGCATTTAAACAAGCGTCCACTCGCAGAGATGACAATCTAAACAGGACAGCTGTAAGAATGAAACTAACTTTACCAATTTTGAATCAGATAGTGCCAATTTTAACATTAAATGCTAAGAAAAGTGAAAAACGCACACAAAACTTAAGATTAAAAACAGGCCCTGCAGAAGTCAAACGCATTTTCTTATAAGGAGAACGTATTCTAGTTTTAGAAGTTGACTGGTTTTATATTGGAGTAATTTCTGGTGTTTATGAAGTTATTTCAACTTTTATTTACAAAATGACTTTTTTTTTTCCTATCCTCTCAAATTGACAAATGTAGATAGGCCTGTTAAAAAAAAAGTAATGAAGTCCTTTAAACTGTTACAACTCCTAGGCAGCATTCTTTGCACTTTGAGTGCACTATGAACGGTTTGATAAGCCCTTCATGGTTGCTTATGCAGCAACTTATCACAAAATTGATAAACTACAAGTATCAGAACAAGCAATTTAAGCTAGTAACTCGAGGCTGAGTTGAAACAAGACTTTTTCCACCAACTTCACCAAGGCAACTTTCATTGTCTTATCAAACATTTCCTCTGCATATCACCCATGAACAGAAAGCACAGAGATTAGCAAGGCCATGGAGGAGTCAAAGAGAGGAGGAAGAGAAACCAATAAATTGATTCAGAAAGGTTCATGCAGTAGGCAGCAAGAGAAGATTTTACACTATTAAATGTAGCGGCACATGCCCGTTACTGTTACGTATGGATACAGACGGCTCCATCCAAGTATTTCGTTATTGGAAGTCACTTACAATGTGAAAATCTGATTAACTTCTTTTAGTAAGCCAGTATCAGCAGATACCTGATAAAACTAGCAACGCAATCTGCCTCGCTAGCTGACGACCTCCTGTACAATATTCATATTCTGAGACGTAAACAAAGAAAATGCAAGTGTAAAGTAAAATTCCTAGGAAAGTTAGGTACTTCCATTCTTTGGAAATACTGTTTTGCTGAATAAGACCCAAAAGTCAGTCCTCATGACAAATGCCTAGAAGTCCAAAAGGAATACCTGTGGGACTTCAGGAGTTCATGTCTCAGGTGCTGTAATATCCACTTAATAGTAGCATCTTAATGATAGTCGAGAACATTAAAAATAAAACGTTACTTGATAGATTTCTCCTTCTGAGGAACAGTATCTCTTACCTGGAAGTCATTTTCCTGGAGAAAGTTATATAAATGCTTTTGAAAAGAAAGAGTTAGTCTTACACATCTCCTGCATTAATAGATATTTAAATAGCAAATGAGAAGCACATTTTCATTTCTGGGGGCCAGTAAACTTGCCAAACATGCTGAGGAAGAATGTCTAAAGAAGAAAAATTTGTGTTTGGGAATATTACCTTTTTTCTGCTTTTATAAACATACAAAAAGATAATGCTACAGAAAAAAGTTTCAAAGTCACTTCCACATAAGGAAAAAGAAAACTTTCAAGACAGACACTGTTATGGATAGTTTTAGATTCAAAACTGAAAACGACACACCTAAAAAATTATTTAGTTCACATCTTTGTTTCAAAAATGATAGCATTGCATCTCGCATTCCCAGACTGCTTGTACCTCTTCCAAGGATTATTTTTTCGTAGAAATACACATAATTTAACAATTGTCTCAAGGTCTGAGAACACATTCTTCCCCCCGACCATGTTTATTCAGAGATTATTAATAAACAAGCTATGAATATTTATTATTTTAGAAATGCTGATTACAAATAACTGCTGATACCAATTCAGTAGTGAAGTCAAGAAAACAACAATCAGCAATAAGGATGTTTTCAACTAACTGAAGTCAGAAATGCAAGAATTGGAAAGTTCAAAATTCTGAATTTGGACATTCATTTATTTAAAGACAAGCTTTTAAAGCGGTACTGCATGTTCAAAAAAAACCTTGAATATGAGAAAATGCACATGAACACTCACAAACTTCAAGTTTTCAAAAACATTTACTAGCTAAGCATCAGAAAGCAAACACAATGACTTCAGAGTTGAATTCTAAATTCAAGTCTGCATATTTATTTTCAGCATACAGTATCTAAAAATTCCAATTTCAGAGAAACTTTGTCCCTCATTCAACTAGGTTACATCTATCTCCTTTTTCTACCAAAGGAACATAAAGGAGCAGAGGGCTCTTGGATTATACTGGAAGGTCTGGAAAAAGGGAAAAAAAAACCATTCTCATCCTAACAGGATATTTCCTCAAATTAATTTACTTCCACAGGGCACCAAAGAAAAGAAAATATTTGAGTACGTTTTTAATCTTCTCATTCAGGAAATGAATGAGATTTAAGACAACTCATTTTTAAGATACACTAGATTAAGCATTTCTGTTTCTTATCTGTCAAGTTCAGCTTTCATCTGCCACTGCTGATTATCTCCTAGTTGAAGCAGCAATTTTTAAATGAAATGCATTGACAGATACTGTTTTACTAATGCAAATGAGTACAGAAGCAAGAAATGATACGTTAAGCAAGCAGAGAACATGGCTGTTATAAAGAGAAGAATCTCTGTAAATTTGCTGTTTTAATGACCTACAGCACAGTCATATTTTCATCTCAGTGTGAAGATGCGCATGCAACCCTCTTGTTTCCCAACAGGGCTAATGTTTTAAATCATTTTTATGAAAATATTTGCATTTACATTGCACTCCAGTGATTACTTAGGGCCTGTACCTTGCAAGCACGCACTATAATCAGTTTATTACTGCAGTCATTCTAATATAGTGCTATTGATGACTCATCTATACACAGGACAACTCTCCAAATGTTTTCTTTGTAAGACGGATTTTCTGTAGCTTAGTTCCAGCTGGAGTTTTTCAGAACCTCGGAAGAAAGCAAAACACTGCTCCCCCTGGAAAAAGCCTTTCTTTCAGCCACAGGCAATTTGGCACATGCAGGTTCTATATTTTAAAATAGACTGCTGCTGGTGTATCTACTATCTCTTACTGTTTTAGCTGATACTCTTTTTTTCTACATCATAAAAATTGCATCCTTTATGGTAAATCAAAGAAGTTTATCTTTTACATCTTATTAGATTTCAAATATTTAGCAACAAACTACTGAGCAGCAGCTCCACACACAGAGCTTACCAAAATACTTCTGTACGTTTAGCACTGACCTGCTAAATCCAGAAACAGAGATGGCTCCCCTGTTTCCAGTCCAAGATAAATTCAGCCACTGGATGAGAGTGCAGCGAGACTGTAGGTATTCCAGAGATGTGTCATTAATTCTTGCCCAGTAAGGTTGTAAACTGAGATGAATGTACTGTAGAGGATCACAGCAATGTTGATATAGTAGCTTACAAGTTTGTGCTAGTCTACACAGGTCTGGTACTGTGAGGTGACTCAAAATCAACTGGATGAGCTATATTAAAAAAAAAAGAGTCATATATGGTCATACAGCACTTGAAATGTTAAGGGAAAACTGCGAAGGAATAACAACAGATGTTCCAACTTCAAAGAAAAGTAAATCCTTTTACTTTTAAGTAACTTCTCAAATCATTGATCAACTGTTAAATAGGATTGCACTGCCTTCTCAATTCAACAGCATATTAAACAAGATCATTAAAAGCAGATCAACATATGAAAGTGACAGGAAGCTTTCAAATTAGAAGTTGCTTTACCCATGCTAATTTAAACAGTGATATATATGTAAACACTATGTTTACATATTTCCCTTCACAACATCTGCCCATTCGTTGATCAGAAGACTGAACTGGCATCCTCTTTCTTCTCTGGATCTGGTTTTTAGGTAGTGGCACCTTTGCAGAGTACATGAAAATCATATCATGGTCCAGTTTCCCCACTCCTTGAACAGGTCTAGATTTTTCCTCTGCTCCCTGCTCTAAAATCACCAATTTGTCTTCTACTTTACATCCTCTCCCATACTGGACTACGCAACTAGGTCAAAAGCTCAACATTTACAGATCTTCTTTTATGAAGAAATCTCTTTCTTGCTGTAATACTTTCAGTGCAACTCTGTTCCAAGTCAGAGTCAAATCTGAAATGCAATTGTAACCTTTTATCAAACCGAATTATCCCAGTATCGGAATAATCAACAGCCCATCTCACTAGTGCCGTTGTGTATATTTTTGTAATGGCTTAGCTCACATGCAGAAATGAGGAAGTATCCCCTTCTCCTAACCATGTTCCATTTTCCTTTTTAAAGAAACATTAGCAAACACCAAAAAATATGCATAAACACTCACTTTTAGGACATAAAAAAACATTCTCAACATACAGCATCCCTTAGCTCACAGACAGAGAAAATGCACTTGAATAACGAAATCTAAAAATTAATGTTGACTTAACTGGGGCTTAACAGCCATAAACACCTGCACTCAAGTGATGTAATTAAAATTGACTAAGCACTTTCAAGCAGAGTGGGAAACAATAACTCTCTGAAATGAATCAGTGTTTTACAATAATGAGAGAGAGAGAGAGAGAGAGAGAGAGAGAGAGGGAGGAGTGTGTGTGTCCATCCGTCCATCCTGCAGCCCTTCCAAAATATCGTCATGTTTCATTTTAACTTCTTGTATGGATTCATACTACAAAATTGTCAAAAATAAGACTAAAACTCGCAACATTAAATCAAAATGAAGCTTTTCAAGAGATCCAAAACACAAAGTGTACTTCCAAAGTACCACTCTATGGAAAATTAACCCCCACTGCCTGTTAGTTCTGGAAGAGAAGTAAGAAAACAGTGCAGTTTCCTGCAAAATGAAAAATGTTACTTCCTACTCAGCTCCAGATTTAGTATTCTAATATGAAACACGCTATACACATGTACAGACTCTTCACTTACAAAAAAAATTAACTTCAAATTCAAAGCCAAAATTCAGTGTGTGCAGATACTCAAGCTTCTCTCAAGCTTGACTTCAGCCTTCCCTCTCTTCTCCTCACTCTCCCTTCCTCCCCCCAGAAAAAAATCAGCACAGACCTCCTCCTATGCAGTGTCTGGAACTCTTACCTCAGCTTCATGCTGAGGATCAGAGTAGACATTTCAATGCAACAGTGATGAACTGCATACATACAGTGCAGTTAACAATATATTATAAAATCAAAGCTTGTTCCCAACTGACATTTAGGCTGCTGGCTTTTTCATACCTGATGGAGAGCAAACCAAGAGCTAAAATAGATACAATCCCAACTTAATATCTTGATTTTTGCCTTGCTCAGATATACAGTTTAGCAAATAAGTTGCTTAACACAGATGTTTGTTGTTCTAATCACAGATATCTCAACAGATATCTATTTTGCTAAGACCGTCAATTCACTTGAAAGAATTTTTCAATGTTTTGAAAGGCAGCTTCAAGTTATTTTGCAATCTTCCACTTATTCCACTTTCCATAATCCACCCAAATAACTATTTTCTGAATGTCTTCCCCCTCTCAGACTTTTTTCCAATGCAAGCAGCTCAGTAGTGAAGGCTGCATAGTTAGCTGAATTTATGCCTACAATTAATGTGGCATAATATGTCTGATAAAACAAAGCAACACATGTTGTTAAATGGGAAAAGTTGCTTTGACTTCTAAATGGTAAAAATAATGGCGAATGAAACTGCAAATGCCTCACCAGTGTCCCTTTACACTAACTGATCACTTCAATGAGTATTTCACAATATACAGAATGCTGCAACTCTTCCTCACCTGAGATGAAATCTCTTACCACATGAATCCTATTCAGTATTAATCAGAAGAGATAAGTCGTCTTTATTTTTACTAAAATTACACTACTGTAATATCTAGAATGAAAAAGTACAATAAAATGTCACTCCTATGACATTAAGATAAGTACTTTTTTCTTGCTTTTGATTAAACAAAGATAACAAGTTCCAAACCTACAGGCTAATAACCATTAATCACTGTTAGTCTGGAGCCTGGCATCTGTCAGAAATCTGCCTTTTATGTATGTGTATCCTAGCATAAAGTACAATTTGATACCATAATGAGTATGCTACATGATGTGCTGCATTGTGCTATGCTGTGTTCACAGTGATTCCCAGAATGCTGCAGAACTGAGTATCTGCTTTGAAAACTAATCTCATAACACAGTTTCTTGCAAACAACTGTTGTTAGTCTGCATTTATGAAGAATTATGGCAACTAACATTATTGTTTCACATCCTTTCTTATAAGTCAGCCAGTAAAAAAAAAAAAAGGTTATTGGAAAAGTACTACAAAGGAATTTTAAAGAGGAAAACAGAGTACAACTAACGTAACACCAATTACCTTTTTAGCATATGACAGACCAAAATATTATTTTATAATCAGAAGTACTTTCTCCTGTTTCCAGGGGAAACAATGCACATTCCACAGTTTTTAAAATATACACACATACATACACACACACACACAAATGTATCTATGCTTAAATAACATAGAAGTCTCCTTCATTGCATCAGATTTTCCTTATAGGCTCAGACAGGATCTCCATCACACTCTTCAATACATGGGGTAAAACTTTACCAGTAGTGTAGTCGCTAACAATACTTCCCAACAAGGTTCCTCAGCTTTTTAAATAAATATGAATAGCAGCAAACTATAATCCCAACAATACACTTTCAGTAGCTATACTAGAATGACACAGAACTTGATTTGGTAAAGAAAGCATGCTTGGGAACTGGTCAAATCCAGAAATTCTGCACTTCCTAGGAATTTCCTTCTTCTGTTCTTCATTTTGTTCATTGTGAAAGCATGTTGGCCTACACAAACCACTAATTCAGAAACATTCAAATGAACACTAGGCTTCCATTTTTTTATTCTGCAATTAGGGCTCCCACTGCTTACCCCTAAATAATTAGAACTGATAAAGACAATGAAAGGACAAGGGATAGGTGGACAAAAAGAAACAGAAAGACAGCAGGAAGTGAAAGGTGGTATTCTCTGGCTGGCAATGTGCCTCCACATAGTTTAGGAAAACACGCTCCATGGCGCCATGATGCTATCTCTTGCATCAGCAAATGCATACACATTCAATAGCACACGGGAACATATGGAAAGCGGATCACACAACAGCTTCACAAAACACAACCAGTTAAGCCTTTCTGTTCTTTATTCTACTTTCACAAAATGTTTTGGTGGAATGGGCTTTACACCATTAGGGTACAGACTCTACTCCTTTCAGCAACAGAAGGCTGCAAAAGTTTTAAGCCCCTCCTTGATTCACAGAACAGAGAAGGATCTTACTGACAGACCGCACAACCAAATCAAGACTCCAGGAAGGTTAAAGCTGGAGAGATCTTCTACACGTGTTCAGAGCCTCCTAGAAAGTTCTTCCTCAGATTTAACGTAATTCTGGAGATCAGACGATAGTATAAATACTTCACAGCTACTAAGGACTGGTTAACACAGTCCATGAGCCACAAAGAATTATTCTCTCACATAGTTCATCCAAGACTTCACGCTTCCTTCTAAGGGAATCAGTGCCTCAGGAGTTGACCATTTTTCTCTTTTGTTGGTCTGAGTACACTAGACTCTTACAACCTTTTTGAACACGCTGCACCAAGCCATTCCTAACGCCATTCTGAAGAGTGACATAGATGATACTTTCATAGACAACAAAAGCTCCAAAAAACTACTGACGGTCAAATAAAAGATTGGAGGAACCACTGTCTATGTTAAGACTACCATAAAAGACCATTCAGTCTACATATTTTGTGTACTGTGACAGTAGCATGAAGTAGTCTGAAACAGGCAGCTCAATTAAGGAATATGAAGACTATGTCTTTATGAAGACTATGTGAAGAACAGTCACACATTTACAATCAAGATGAACATATAAAAATATACTTCTCATGTAGTGTATCCTAACCAGAATTGGAATGAGTCAGTAGTTGCTTCATTTCATCCTTACAAGGTTCTCGCACTTCTCAGAATAATTTGGCACTGATCTTGAAGACAGCATAAAGAGCTGTTCCCATAACTGATGCTATAAAAATTGTCATACTACAAAGAGCAACATTTCTGTTGTTCTGATAGCCAAACCTTCCATCTGGACCAGAAAAGCAGGAGAATGAGATTTCTACTGTCACAAAACCAGCACAGAAACAGTCCTTTATAGTCTTCTGATAAACATTCTACCCATATTTTCACTTTCTTTAAATCAAAGTAAAAGAAAAAAAATGTGTAGGGTATTGATAGACCACATAAATGCATTAATGCAACCCAAAATGTTAAAAAAATAAATGAATAAAAAAGGAGCCTGGTACACAAAAAAAGCAGAAAAACACAACACAGAGACAGAAGTTCACAGGAGTAACAGGACTACACACAAATATTTGTGTAACGGTAATCCTGATAATCTGTGTAATTATGTGGAACAACAACGAGATTAAAGTAAACTCTCTGGTAGTCTACTATACTACAGTCCAATGTACCCAGCTGTTCCAAATCAAACAGGAAGAGTTAGAGATCTGTGTGCGGTCGCAGGGCCATGATCTCATTGCAGTGACAGAGACATGGTGGGATAGTTCACAGGACTGGGATGCTGTCATGGATGGCTATGTGCTTTTTAGGAAAGACAGGCCAGGAAGGCGAGGTGGTGGAGTTGCCCTTTATGTGAGGGAGCAGCTAGAATGTATGGAGCTCTGCCTCGGGGTGGATGAAGAGCAAGTTGAGAGCCTATGGGTAAGGATTAAAGGGCAGGGTAACATGGGTGACACTGTTGTGGGGGTCTACTACAGGCCACCTGACCAGGAGGAAGTCATCGATGAGGCCTTCTACCGACAACCGGAAGTAGCCTCACGATCACAGGCCCTGGTTCTCATGGGAGACTTCA